AGAATAATTTCTGGATAGTGAGTACTTTTTAAGTGGTAAAATTATTCTTAGGGCTCTGGGTTGATTGGGGTTCTTTGTTAATGAATGAGTCAATTTCACCCTACCCAACTATAGATTGTAATTTTTTTTCTCAGCATGATCATCTGCAAGTAATCCAATATAAACCTATAAAGCTTTAAAAAAATCAATATTATACCTAGCATTGAATGAAGGCTTCACTAAAATCCATTCCAGAACTTGAAAGAAAGAGAAAGAATGAAGCGTTATCATTTATTTGTGAATGCAGCTGATTTTGTTCTTACCACCTCTTATTTGGTGCTAGGGTCAAACTGTGATTTATTTTGCTCTGTTAATGCATATATATCAAATTCTCAGCTGCTGTAAATGTGTGCAGGCTCACTCAACAGGAATGCCTACTAAATCTTCAAAGAAAGTCCTTTATAGGCTATATTGTAGGTGGGGCTGCCATTACTACCTATTAAAGTGGTCTGACTCTCATTAGAAGTCCTTGTAATAACGTTACCAAAACTTAGCTTTTAGACTGCAAGTTTTGCTGGGTTGGGTTTTTCCCCCCAGTTTGTCTCTCCTTCATTTTGCCAGTGTTGAGAAAGGAAACAAGATCTGCTTTTGCTCATGTCCTCATAGTTTCCTAGACCTGAATTGTGGATAAATTGTATTACATGTATATTTTTAGCTGTATAAAGGGTGTCTTGAATTTTGACAGTCTACAGGTTATAGGTCTGTTCCTGTTGCATAAGAGGAACTTGAGGTATAATCCTGAAGATTTTTCTCTGACTTTTTACTGGTAGTTTGGAAAACAGGAGCCAAGAAGAGGGAGGCAAAGAAAGATTAATAAAAGTAACCGGGGAAGGAGTGACTAACTGAGGAGATCTGACAGCTGAACATATAGAGCATATTAACTGTGATTCTGTGTCACCTCTTATTCTGTCTAAAGCAATTTCATTCAAACTTTTTGTGAGACTGGGGTGATTTTGATCTGGGTGATCCTTTAAACCAAACCGTCAATCTCGTCAAACCTGTGATGCTTGATCCAAGCAGGGGGTGAAACTCACTCTTGTCTTGTTCAGCTATTCCACATAGTTACAATACAAGTCTGGATTATGTGGCTGGGTAGTCTTTTTCATAGAACCCTTTCCATAGCTGGCGTCATCTGCGTGAAATGAGCACAGTCCATAATGATTACTTATTAAATTAAGCTCTTACCTGTGTCAGAAATTGCTGCATAGAAGTTGTTGCAGCACTTAAATCACAAGTAATTAGTAAAGGAGGAAGAAAATGGTCTTATGATTAAGGCTCATGAAAATGCTCTCATGATAATTCTCATATTAATTTTCAGTATTAAGAATATACTTGCATGGGAAACATTGGCCAGAATATATTGAACGCGTTTGGTGGAAAAATGGTATATAATCAGAAAACCTTGATATCAGTCAGCATAATAAGGATATAGAATGGACTGAGATGACTTGCATAGCTTACTTCCTTCCCTAGCTTTTGAACAGTCCTTTTAGAAAAATTACTGGTAACCCTCTAACTGTACTTTTGGAAAATATTATTGAAGTAACTGCGATGAATTTTTCAATCACAGACCATGTGCTTATAATCTATCATGTAAATGAAAAAAATGTTGAAGATTTTCTCATGTGGAAAGTCCACTATGAATCTATTGACATTAATATTTTAAACACTGTTTCCATCCCAGAATATAAATAGTATGTTGCTAAAATTTCATTTGGTTTCAAAAGCCTTAGGTCCATAAAAGATGTACCAATGAAACTGTTTAGATTATGATTTCAGGATATTTGAATTTTATGTTGGACATAAAGAAGGAAGAGAAGTCTTCTGGAAATAAAATACCACTCCAGTCCTCAGAGTTAGAATGTGGTTCTTGTTTTTTACTAAGGCACATTTTACTATTTCTCAGCTTCCTGTTGAGGAACACAATGCTTATCCAACTTAACTAATTTCTAACTGAATTAAAGCACTCTAAGTATTTTTCTAACCTAATGTCATAAATTATGAATATTTACTGGAGTAACAATCTCTTAGTGAAAGATTACTCCTACAGTAATAGTTTTATGATGTTAATTTCAAATAGTGCTATTTTAGTGCTAAAACTGCACAAAAGGACATTAATTGTTTCTCATCCATATTGGTAAAAGCTTTATTTATGAAATAACACAACAGGGTAATAGAGAAAATGTACGAAAAGTAAATATACGAAAAGTAAATATTATGCTTCATTGCTACCCTCAAGCATAAAGTTTCAGACATGGCTGTTTGACTTTACCAATTTGCATAACATGTCAACAATTTACATCTAAAATTATATGAGAAAGAGAAAGATATAGATTATTAAATTCTGCAGTGGGTAAAGAAACTAGCTCATTTCCAGAGGGGATTTTCCATTTTGGTTAGGATGGGAGACAGAGAGATGCTGAAAATTAGGCTTTGTGATTGATGCCCTGTGAGTTCAGTTAAATCAGTATCTGCCATCAGCATGGATATAATGTTAGACAGCTGGGACTGGGTGTTGGTTTTTGGGGGGTTAGGGGTATTTTGTAGATATGAAGGAAAAATTTTGATCTCCTATTACACCAAAGTGACCACACTACTTGAAGTATTCCATTTCCACTCTCACAGTTGCCATTACTAGCCAGAAGTTACGGCTAAATTTACCTTCAAAATAAGGCAAACAAAGGGTTAACTAAAACCCACAACACACATAAAATCCCCCGTCTGTAAGAGTATGTTATTCTGTTATAACTATAAGAAAGATATACATGGGAAAGATATGATGGGGTCCACTTCTGTGATTGTCCCTTTTACACTTGGAATACACTTGAATCTACAGAAAAGCCATGTCATGGAGCCCAGTGAGAAGGTCACTATTACTGCCCCAATCGTGTCTCTTAACATTTGATTTGGAACTTTGTTTCTGCCTCTTCCCTGTCACTTGTATGAGCAATGGGTCTTTGTAAAGTGGGGTTTCCTGGATGTGACTTTGTGTAATGTACAGCAGTTTCTCTTAACCAGTGAGAACTTTGGGATAATTTTTCTAAATGCTCAAAATCAGAAATAGAAAGCAAGAATCATTGAAAAATTCCGTGCATTAACTAAATACTATTCTGGGGAAAAGGAATCTTCATATTTTTTGCTTCAGGGCTCTCATCAAACATGTGTCTTGCATTACCTTTGACTAAATATCTCTTTGACTGTTTTTGCTTGTGTTAAACAATCAGGAACAAATTTGGCATGTAGTTTGTTAATGCTCAACAATGAGGACCACTCAAGAATTAGAAAGTTTGTCCTAGACTTCAGGCTGCAGATAGTATCTCTAGCTTCCTTTTTATTTATTTTTTTTAAATTTGTTTAAAGCAGAGTTCCAGAATCCAGACTAAAAAGGAGCTGTGTATTGTGTCTGAGGCTTTAGATCTTGCAGAGATTGGATTTATCGAACTTTTATTGTTCTGCCTTTAAATGGCGTCACTTGTCTGTAGCCTGTAGGCCCAGACTATGCAGCTGATTTATTTTATTGTTTTACTTTTAAATGTGGGAATTGCTTTAGGCATTTATGCTAATATTCATATTTTCTGAATTAGTGTTGTATTGTTACATCCATTCTATTGGAGAAAACTCTAGTATTCATGCAATTGACTGAAATGGGAATGAACAGCATAATAGAGATTAGTTGACAAAAGTTGACATAAACCCTACATTTTGAATAAAACCAGGGAAATTTGGTAGCTGCTATGTGAAACTGCTTCATCTATTGCTGTTCTGCATTCATTCACTTGAAAGTCATGGTCTTTGTCACCCTTTTGATATCATCATGGTTCAGAATTTTGGCAGCAAAGATAACTTACTCTTCATGTGGACAGTGGTTTTTGTTTTGTTTTGCTTCTAATCACTGTCAAGACGTGGCACTCAGCAACTAATTATTCTGTCTATTGCCTCACTTTCAGAAAAAGCATCTTTTTTTCCTGCTGACTTTTAAGCCAGGACTTGAAAGGATCTAGTAGGTCACTAAGTCTGGTCCTGCCCCCTGGAGAGGAATCATGTTTTAGTCTGCATGGCAACACCAGAGTTAATCTATTTGCTTCTTTTTTCTCTAGTGTTGATTTGCTGGTTGTATTTGTAAGCCTGATCTTAGTAGCTCTCTGAGTTTTAGAATTCTGGTGGAAGATAGAAACTCTGATTTCACAATTTGAAGAAAATATAATAGTACATGGGTGAAGAATTAGATGTGGGAGATTCCCAAGATCAGACTCCAACTCACCCGTGTTCTTTGGGCCTCCAAGAGAGAACAGTGTAGTTCTGCTTCCTTTGGAAAGGTCAAGTTGGTTCTAGGTAGGTTCTCACCTGAATGCAGTTGTAATATTTTTTGTGTGGAGGACCACTTCTCAAAGCTATTTTACTCTCGATTTTCTTTTTTTATTTTGTTTTTCTCCTTGATAACATAGTATCCTACATCAGTTCCACTTCTACTCCATTTTTGCAGACTCTGAGGGATAGGAAACATACAAGCTTACGTCTGATGCGCTCTTGCCACTTTATGTGACTACTGTTGTTTTCTGATAGCACTTTTGTGATTACTTTGCATTTAATTTTTAATTCACTTTATTTGTCAGCTTTGGGATAGTTTTTTTAGTTCAGAATAAAGGCAGCAAAGGATTCCCACTATATGTAGACACCAGCAAGTTAGTTATGCTATCAATACAAGATGTTTTGGACTTGAGTGATAACGACAGGAGCTGAAATCAACAGTTCCCCACACATTTTCTTTACCAAATTCAGTTTCTTCAATGTATTTGGAATACACAACTTTAGGGTGAAGTTTTTGAACTTTTTTTGCATAACATAGTGTATTGTTTCTTTTGTTGTTCTGCCTTTCCAGCAAGTATGGTTTGGTAGCAACATCATTTGAAGAGATTCTGTTCTTTTTTAAATTTTGTATACACTTTTTTTTTTTTTTTGGATAGAATTGAAAATACTTGTTTGGTTGTTATTACAGATTGCAACTTAATTGTTGGAAAGATTTGATCTATACCTTGCTACCCAAGATCTACTTTATTTTGTAATCCTTTTGTAGCTGCAAAGAAATAAATCTATGAATTTCTCTTTACAAGAAGAAAATCTCTTAGTGACCTGGATTTATCTCAATTCCAGGCTTGAATGAAATGTTTGTTCCATTAAAAAAAATATTTAGAGTGATGATTTCCTATTAGAAGACTGTTGCAGATTATCCTAATTTTATCTTTCTGAATGACATTAATTTTATTTTTGAAATCCAAAAAAACCTGACTATCATATCATAGTTTTAAATTCCAAATACTATATTAAATGGATTTAAAAGTTAAATAGGAATCTCTTGCTAATTTTTGACAGGTGATGTGAGTAGCCATACCTTGAATTTAGATCTTTAACCTTGTGAACATCAGTTATGATATACTTGTTTTCCAATGTTAAAATTTTCGGTTAATGAGCAGTACTTTTTGCTGTTGAGACATCCCACCCCAAAAGGGAAGGGAACACACAGGTGTGCAGATGCTCACAGTCAACAAGGAATGACAAAGCCAGAAGGTCTGTAAAAGCTTACAGAGTTTTATTAGTGAATTATACACTTGTCATGGAAATTGATATGTTATTCCCTCATTTTCCAGTATAAGCACACAGTGGTGGGTTCTGAATAAAGAGGTAGAGTGAGTGAGAGAAACTGGAGGGAGGGAGGGACAAAGATCACCAGTCCTTGTTCCAGTGCTGATCCAGCTAATGGGATGTCCAGAGTCCTGGAGCCATGAATAGTCAATGAAGTCCTGGAGCCTCATGGGGGTACTTATTTATAGATAAGTTTCTTGCTTTCTATGCAAATCAGTTGTCATGCACAGTTCATTCCTCTAGATCTTTCTGGAAGTAGGTTGGAGGGCTTCAGGGTGTCTTTGGTGTCTTGATCCCCCTCTGCTGGGTTGGCTTTTGGTCAGCAATCCTTTTTCTTGACCTCATTCCTGTATGTCCAACTGTGCTTATCTCCAGGAGCCAGAACAAGGATTTCTGTCCCAGAAAACTGCTGCCCTGGCCCTGTAAGGCCCCCTTCTCCAGCCACATCCTGTTACTTCTCACAGCATGTTATTTCCAAGGATCCTTGGTTGGCAGCACAGTAATCTGGCTGTTCATGTTTGAGACACAGACATTAGTCCCTTATCTTCAGGGCTTCTACAGTATTTTCACTCCACTGCAGCTAGTTTGGCATCTGTGAGAAAAGGGGGATAAAATATCTTCATAATCAATAGTTATTAAGACTTAAGAAGAGGAAAAATAAAACTAAACAGTTGGCCAGCCAACCACATCCTCAGAAAACCCATACTGTAAGTACAGTGAGTTTCTCAAGTTTCCTCTCCTAAGCAGTTCCAATGGGAGAGCTCAGGGTCAGTTTTTTCCTTCTCTTCTGCTGTTCCAACATTAGTGTACAGACCTGTATCTGAAAATGTAAGTGAATCAAAGTTGGCAATGAATCAGTGAATCATACGGCAAGCATCTTCTGAGTACTTTTTTTAGCTTTTAAGATGTGAATTGGATCATTACATTCTTTACTCTGGCTAACCTAATTCTATTTTTTCTTATCTCTTTTCTGTTAAATAATTTTTAAATAATTTTGCCAGTGTGGCTCTAGATGATGCAGCCTCCTGGCACTACAACAGTAGTGCTGTAACTTGAAAAAATATGTATATGCTTCCTGACATGAACTAACAGTTTTAGTTATCTGTCTTTTCTTTTTTCCTCCAAGTGACTCGCAAGGGTTTTCATCAGTGTGATTAGTACAGTGTAAAACTCAGCAACCAATGTAGAGTAAATATTAATCTCTTTCTTTTATGCAATGGTTGAATCCTGGCATTGAAAATTATTTCATCTAGAATCATGTCATTTTACAGATAATAGTCCTTTTCTGGCATGACTTATGTCTCCTAAGAATGATATAAAATTTACATCAAGTTGAATTCAAAAACCTTAGAGCTCTTTGTATGATAGTCTGTGAATCACATGCTGCTCTTATGATTGTAAAACCAACACGAATGAAAGTCTATTTTAATCACTGATTTTAACCCCCTAAAGCAAGACATTTTGATGGCTTGATTTTGGTTTTTTTTTCCATTTTGGAAACAAAAAAGCTTTGTGACCTTTTATAATCCTTAAACTGATCAAAGAAAACCCCAATGTGTACGTGGTTATTTTGACTTTAAAATAAAATTCATATTGGCGCCTACTACGTCAAACATTCAAATAAAATACAAATTCTCACAGTTTTAACTTACATCAAAGATGGAAATCATTGTGTGGTTTTGGAAACCAAAGCAATTCCAAGATAGACACAGTTGGAATTTTTTTTTATTTGACAGTGTTTTTCATACACTTAGTAACAGCAGTGTGAAGTAGAGTGTGCATTCTAATGAAGAAGGAAGACTAGGGGAACCTTTTAGGATTAAATTCACCTAGGTGATAAAGTTACATACACTTGTAATGGGTTTATAGAGCAGAAGCAAACTTTAAGAATAGAAAATTTTCTCATTTTTGGATATGTATATAGACTGCAAAGAACTATTTCTTGAATATGTTGTTAGTAACGCAAAATATCTTGTATATTATCCTGCATAATATAATAATACTTGCATTTCTTTTGGCAGGTTGTCAAGTTGTTAAGTAACAAAAGATCTCAAGCTGTTGGAATATTAATGTCTAGCCTTCATTTAGACATGAAGGACATTCAGCATGGTAAGTGAAATAACTATTGATTATTCTCAGATCACATAATTAATTATCTGGACATGCCAAATATTTATATCTTTTGATATATAAAATAAATTGAGGCCTTTTTTACACTATTTTTTCTGAAAATAGCTTGTTCTGGCATTCATATTCCCCTTTCAGCATCAGCTGTGTAAGTGGAATATAATATAGACACTTGGATTTCTGGTTTTGCTGAGGAAGAAACGATGTGTTGTTTATTTTAATTCAGATAACCTTGGGACATATCCAGAAAAGTGAATTATAGTGTTTAATTTATTTGTTTTACAAAATAGTTCCTATATTTGGGTTAGCACAAACTGTGGCATTCTTTCATCTGCAACAGCATTTTTTACGAAGCGAGATCTTCTAGGGGAGCGTAATACTTTTCGCATTTATGCTAAGAGACAGTAGTGCAAAAAGGTGAAAAGTGGAATTGCATTTATATTCAGAGCATCCCTTATGTTTCCCAAAGGCTTTGGATAGATTTGAAGCAGATTGAATTATCCTGTGAAGTGCCAGCCTATCTATTAAATAAATGTGGTTTCAAGTATAACACAGACTTCATAAATCACAAAAACATCTTGTGAACTTTCTAGGCCACACATTTACAGCCATGCATTCAGTTTACTATGATTTGCTTATTTTGCGAAATTATTCAGAAATAGAACAAATTTGAGAGCACTCTGTCAGCTAGTGAGTAACTCATAATCACAGTTTTAAGGTTTTATTAAACTGTTTTGATGGTTACTAGACTTCCTCAAGCTGAAGCACTTAAGATGGTAGTCATAGAGCAAGGCGCCAGTGCTGGCGCCAAGAAGTACTTGGTATTTCCAAAGCTGGCAGATGTAGTTCAGTTAAGTCATAGAGCAAAATCTGAAAACAATGATATGGTCCTTTCCTTCAGTCAAATATTCAACTTGGTTTCAGTTAATAATGAGAACCTTATGAAAAAAGGAGTCCGCCTAACATCTGTGTCTGTGGTAAAGCCAACACAAGTTCATTGAAAATTTGCTTGCTTAACATGCAACACTAACAATAACATGGCATGAATGTCAGTAGTTGAAGGGGTCAAACAATATTATTCTTAACCTTTATCCTATTACAATATTAAGCACACATGATCATCTAAGAGCTGTGTGCAGATTTTGGATATTCCTCTTTCAATAGCCGTTTTCTAAAACCAAAAGTCTTTGCAAAAGGGAATTTAATAGCTCTTTTATTCCCTTGCTGTGCAGAAGTGATTAAACAAACACAAGAAAACTTTTTTCTGGTGGGGGAATTTGTGAAAATGACTGGTGCTAGAAGTCTCTTTTTATTTTCTTTTTTTGAGAACATACAATAGGCATGGAGAAAATGTGGTGAGGAGCAGGAAATATTTGCATGGTGGGGACAAGGAAAATAGAGATATTGCCCAGAAGTATTTTTGGCATCAGTCACTCCATGCAGAGGTCTCTGAGTGATCTAACCATAGAGCCCATGCAGAAATTATAGAATCAAAACCCCACGTATTTAGCTTTACCTTTATGTATGCAACGTTGTTAATTCTTTATTAAAAATAAGGGTTTTACATATTTTTGAGTGTTAAAACATTTAGGATTTTCTACTGCAATTTGAACATACTAACAAGAATATACTAACAAAAGTTCAAATAATGATCAAGTGCCTGCACTAACAAAAATAGTTGATGTATTTGCAACTTTATTATTTAAGTTTTATGACAATGAATACAGTAAAAAATGTGATCAGTGTTATTTGTCCCCTAGCCCAGGGGTAGGCTTTTCAGTAGTGGTCTTGAGGTTTTTCCATGTTTGATGTACACTGACATATAAATTTACACATATCTCAGTATGCTACAAGCAATTGTTTTCCATAAATAAGGAATGCAGTCAAATGAAACTTTACCCCCACCCCCCTCCTGACAATTTGTGATACCAGGTAACTTATAGCTCTCTTGTAAATATTCCCTTATTCAAACATAAAGCATACTTTTAGGATGTAGTGTTCACACAAATCACAGAAGTTATTTGGTTTTTTGTTTTTTTTTTACTGGCCTCAGAAAATCACCCACGAGGAGAGGGAAACTTTCAGTGCTGAGTGATATTACATTTCTTGTTTTGCATGATATTTACTGTGTTGTATTTTTCTGGTGCTTTTGAAAAATTTTGAAGTTCTACGTGAACAGAAGGGAAAACAATTATGCTGGGTACTAATCCACCTAATAAATTCAGGATTTCAAGTTTTAAATCTGATTGTGTTTAGATGAAGACTTTAAAATAGCTTGAGACCTGGTCAAATGTAGTATTTCATGTCTTGTTAAATTTTTGTTCTTTGGTTGGTGTTTTTGGTGTAATTTCATGTGCTTTTTAAGATACAAAATACAGATGAAATATTATCTGCAAGAATATTGTCTGCATATCTGATCAGATGTGGCATTTAACAGAAGATCTCAGTATATTGTAATACATCTTAAATAGTTTTATTTTATTGTATGGCTGTTAAATGTCTGCTTGCAGAATTGCATTTGTCTGCTTCCAGCTTTGGAAATAGGTTTACTAAGACAAATGCCCAGAGACTGTCTGCTTTTAAAATATTTTTACAGTGTGGAAGGATTAGTTGTAATAATCAGAGCACATTTGTTCTGTACTCTAGTGTGTCTTTCTAGGAGTGCTTCAAAGTTTGCTAGATTAATTTTTGTTGTTGTGGGGATTTTTTTTAGTAGATTCTCATTCCTAACAGAACTCCCATCTACCTTATGCAGGCAAGGCTAGAACTGTAAGAAATGTTGGTCTCTTTAGTTGCAGTGCCCTTTCTCTGGTATTAGTAAAAAAATGAATACTCGTTGTTTCTCTGATTTCATGCAAGGTCTTACTGATGCCTGGGCTTTTTTGCAATCGTCTATCAACTATGCAAAACACTTTATCCAGGCATTTTGCTGGCTTTTGTGTTTTCACTCCACCACAAATATCCTTTATCCAGTATGATGTTCCCAGTGGAAATATTGCTGTATTTGGCTGCATGATAAGGCCAAAACTTGAGAAATACCAAACAAGCACTTCTTACCTCTTTTTCCTTTATAGTTCAGATTTTCTTCCTAGAGAAAAGACTTGGGGTTTAACATTAACATTTTTGGCAAGGGGCATTTCTTAACATTTCAGAGATGCAAAGTGTGCTCAGATTAGGGCACAAGATTCTGGTGTATAGAGTAGCCTATGATGCACACCTTATGCCTTAAAATATAATTGTTAAGCCTGTGTCTGCATTTCAGGACTGTGTCTTGTAAATAAGGTATCTTTGTTCAAGCTGTCTGTCAACACTTGGAATATAGCAACTGTTTGACATTGCAGCCATGGAAAAATAATAAGTTTGTCAGTGTCTTCCTAAATCCCCTTATTTATAAAGAAACAGCGCATCTTCCTTTGTGTTTACAACTGGTAATAAGTGCAGTAAGAACAGCAAAAAGTTCTGTGT